AATTAAATCGTCTGGAAGACCAAAAAATCTATAAAATAGAAAGACCTCTTGGAAAATATTGAGACTTTATAGAAGGCAATTTAGGAATTGAAGAATCTAAAAAAAATTGAAAGGGTGTATGGGGTTTAGAAAGCCTTCAGAACATAGAGACTCTAGAATATTTACAAACTTTAGAAAATGTAGAAAATTTGGTATTTTTAGTTTAGAATTTAGAATTTAAGAGAAAATCTAGCAAGTCTAAAATTTACAAATCTTAAAGAGTAAGGAAACTTTAGAGAATTTAAAGAGTCTAGGCAATTTAGAGACTGAAGAATATGGAAAAAAATTACAAAATCTAGAGTTTAGAAACATAGAGGATGTAGAGTATTTCGAACCTTTAGAAATTGTTGAGTATAGAGTCTGATTATAGATAATCTAGAGCAGTTAGAAATATTTGCAGAGTAGAGCGTCTAGAAACTATAGACGACCTAGGGAATATAAATCATTTAAAACACCCAGAATCTAAAAATTCTAAAGAGCTTGCAGTAACAAGAATGAAAATCTATAAAGTCTAGCAAGTCTAGAGTCTGCAAATCTTAGAAAATATAGACTCTGAATACCTTAAACAATTGGAAAATGGAGAATCTAGAGAGAGTTTAGAGAGTCTACTAGGCCTAGAGAATCTAGAATAATTTGGATCATCTAAAGAGTCTAGAAGAACTTTAGAAAATGTAGAAAATTTAGTCTTTTTAGTTTAGAGTTAATAGCTTTAAGAGAAAATCTAGCAAGCCTAGAATCTACAAATCTTAGAGAGTATGAAAATTCAGAAAACCTAGAGAGTATAGGCAATTTGAGGACTGAAGAATCTAGAACAAAATTTGGAAATCTATGGGGTTTAGAAAGCTTCTATAGCTTAGAAATTGTAGAGTATAGGGAGTCTGCGATTCTAGAGTGTCTATTAATTCTAGAGGGTGTAGAGCCCAGACACTATACAGATTCGAGCGGGGCTCTTAATGAGAGACAACCAAGTGTATCTAGAAGCCCTACAAAACATATAGAGCTTGAAGTATCTAGAAGTATAGCGTCTAGAAATTATAGACAGCCTAGAGAATCTAGATAATTTAAATCGTCTGGAAGACCAAAACATCTATAAAATAAAAAGACATCTTGGAAAATATTGAGACTTTATAGAAGGCAATTTAGGAATTGGAGAATCTAGAAAAAATTGAAAGCGTGTATGGGGTTTAGAAAGCCTTCAGAACATAGAGACCCTAGAATATTTACAAACTTTAGAAAATTTAGAAAATTTGCTATCTTTAGTTTAGAATTTAGAATGCAAGAGAAAATCTACCAAGTTTAAAATTTACAAATCTTAAAAAGTAAGGAAACTTTAGAGAACTTAGAGAGTCTAGGCAATTTAGAGACTGAAGAATATAGAAAAAAATTAGAAAATCTGGAGTTTAGAAACATAGAGGATGTAGAGTATAGACAGTCTAGGAAACCCAGTTTAGTATTGAAATTCTAGAATGCCTACAAACCCTAGAGAATCTAGACAATTTAAGAGCTTTAAGAAAAAATCTAGCAAATTAAAATCTACAAATCTTAGAGATTATGGAGACTTTAGAGAACCTAGAAAGTCTAGACAATTTAGGGATTGAAGAATATAAGAAAAATTTAGAAAATCTAGGGAGTTTAGAGGGCCTCTAAAGCACAGAGAATGTAGAGTATAACGCAACTTTAGAAATTGTATATATAGAGGGTCTGATTATAGACAATTTAGAGAAGCTAGAAGTATTTACAGAGTACAGCGTCTAGAAACTATAGACAACCTAGGGAATGTAAACCATTTAAAACGCCTAGAATCCAAAAATTCTAAAGAGCTTGCAGTAACTAGAATGAAAATCTATAAAATCTAGCAAGTCTAGAGTCTGCAGATCTTAGAAAATATAGACTCTGGATACCTTAAACAATTGGAGAATGTAGAATCTAGAGAGAATTTAGAGAGTCTACGAGGCCTAGAGAATCTAGAATAATTTGGATAATCTAAAGAGTCTAGAAGAACTTTAGAAAATGTAGAAAATTTAGTCTCTTTAGTTTAGAGTTAAGAGCTTTAAAAGAAAATCTAGCAAGTCTAGAATATACGAATCTTAGAAAGTATGAAAATTCAGAAAACCTAGAGAATGTAGGCAATTTAAGGACTGAAGAATCTAGAAAAAAATTACGAAATCTATGGAGTTTAGAAAGCCTCTATAGCTTAGAAATTGTAGAGTATAGAGAGTCTGCGATTCTAGAGTGTCTATTAATTCTAGAGGGTATAGAGCCCAGACACTATACAGATTCGAACGGGGCTCTTAATGAGGAACAACCAAGTGTATCTGAAGCCCTACGAAACATATAGAGCTTGAAATATCTAGAAGTAGAGCGTCTAGAAATTATAGACAGCCTAGAGAATCGAGATAATTTAAATCGTCTGGAAGACCAAAAAATCTATAAAATAAAAAGACATCTTGGAAAATATTGAGACTTTATAGAAGGCAATTTAGGAATTGGAGAATCGAGAAAAAATTGAAAGCGTGTATGGGGTTTAGAAAGCCTTCAGAACATAGAGACCCTAGAATATTTACAAACTTTAGAAAATTTAGAAAATTTGCTATCTTTAGTTTAGAATTTAGAATGCAAGAGAAAATCTACCAAGTTTAAAATTTACAAATCTTAAAAAGTAAGGAAACTTTAGAGAACTTAGAGAGTCTAGGCAATTTAGAGACTGAAGAATATAGAAAAAAATTAGAAAATCTGGAGTTTAGAAGCATAGAGGATGTAGAGTATAGACAGTCTAGGAAACCCAGTTTAGTATTGAAATTCTAGAATGCCTACAAACCCTAGAGAATCTAGACAATTTAAGAGCTTTAAGAAAAAATCTAGCAAATTAAAATCTACAAATCTTAGAGATTATGGAGACTTTAGAGAACCTAGAAAGTCTAGACAATTTAGGGATTGAAGAATATAAGAAAAATTTAGAAAATCTAGGGAGTTTAGAGGGCCTCTAAAGCACAGAGAATGTAGAGTATAACGCAACTTTAGAAATTGTATATATAGAGGGTCTGATTATAGACAATTTAGAGAAGCTAGAAGTATTTACAGAGTACAGCGTCTAGAAACTATAGACAACCTAGGGAATGTAAACCATTTAAAACGCCTATAATCCAAAAATTCTAAAGAGCTTGCAGTAACTAGAATGAAAATCTATAAAATCTAGCAAGTCTAGAGTCTGCAGATCTTAGAAAATATAGACTCTGGATACCTTAAACAATTGGAGAATGTAGAATCTAGAGAGAATTTAGAGAGTCTACGAGGCCTAGAGAATCTAGAATAATTTGGATAATCTAAAGAGTCTAGAAGAACTTTAGAAAATGTAGAAAATTTAGTCTCTTTAGTTTAGAGTTAAGAGCTTTAAAAGAAAATCTAGCAAGTCTAGAATATACGAATCTTAGAAAGTATGAAAATTCAGAAAACCTAGAGAATGTAGGCAATTTAAGGACTGAAGAATCTAGAAAAAAATTACGAAATCTATGGAGTTTAGAAAGCCTCTATAGCTTAGAAATTGTAGAGTATAGAGAGTCTGCGATTCTAGAGTGTCTATTAATTCTAGAGGGTATAGAGCCCAGACACTATACAGATTCGAACGGGGCTCTTAATGAGGAACAACCAAGTGTATCTGAAGCCCTACGAAACATATAGAGCTTGAAATATCTAGAAGTAGAGCGTCTAGAAATTATAGACAGCCTAGAGAATCGAGATAATTTAAATCGTCTGGAAGACCAAAAAATCTATAAAATAAAAAGACATCTTGGAAAATATTGAGACTTTATAGAAGGCAATTTAGGAATTGGAGAATCGAGAAAAAATTGAAAGCGTGTATGGGGTTTAGAAAGCCTTCAGAACATAGAGACCCTAGAATATTTACAAACTTTAGAAAATTTAGAAAATTTGCTATCTTTAGTTTAGAATTTAGAATGCAAGAGAAAATCTACCAAGTTTAAAATTTACAAATCTTAAAAAGTAAGGAAACTTTAGAGAACTTAGAGAGTCTAGGCAATTTAGAGACTGAAGAATATAGAAAAAAATTAGAAAATCTGGAGTTTAGAAACATAGAGGATGTAGAGTATAGACAGTCTAGGAAACCCAGTTTAGTATTGAAAATCTAGAATGCCTACAAACCCTAGAGAATCTAGACAATTTAAGAGCTTTAAGAAAAAATCTAGCAAATTAAAATCTACAAATCTTAGAGATTATGGAGACTTTAGAGAACCTAGAAAGTCTAGACAATTTAGGGATTGAAGAATATAAGAAAAATTTAGAAAATCTAGGGAGTTTAGAGGGCCTCTAAAGCACAGAGAATGTAGAGTATAACGCAACTTTAGAAATTGTATATATAGAGGGTCTGATTATAGACAATTTAGAGAAGCTAGAAGTATTTACAGAGTACAGCGTCTAGAAACTATAGACAACCTAGGGAATGTAAACCATTTAAAACGCCTAGAATCCAAAAATTCTAAAGAGCTTGCAGTAACTAGAATGAAAATCTATAAAATCTAACAAGCCTAGAGTCTGCAGATCTTAGAAAATATAGACTCTGGATACCTTAAACAATTGGAGAATGGAGAATCTAGAGAGAATTTAGAGAGTCTACGAGGCCTAGAGAATCTAGAATAATCTGGATAATCTAAAGTGTCTAGAAGATCAGAAGTGTCTAAAGAATTTGATACGTCTAGGGGCTCCATGGAATAGAGAATCTAGGCAATCTATAGATCCTACAGACTCTAGAAAGTCTAAAGATTTCGCAGAATTTAGAGTTTTAGAAGCAAAAGACTTCTAGATTAGATAAATCCGTACTATCTTGATAAATTAAAATGATATATTTTGTGAAAAGATGAATCTACGTTACAGAAATGCGGAAAATCCATTCGTGTGTTTATGGGAGTTGCGTGTTTGCGGTTGCGTTAAATCATCAAAAGCCTTACTTGCTTCGTTCCGCATCCCTTCAGCGGCAGCTCGAGCTTGTAGCTGTAGCCACCTTTGCCGTAGACCTGACAGGCCGAGTTCCTGTCAAAGTCAGCATAGGCTATCCCGTAGAATTTATCGTTGAATTTGAGTTCTATCTGCATGGAGCCCGCGGCACAGTTAAGAGCGGCTTTTGTACGGTTGAGGAAAATTACAGGGCTGAGATCATCTAGTTTCGTGACTTTGCCGTCCAAAGTGGCCTGGTCCGGAAGACCTTTCCCTTGGTATTCGATGTTGTTGGCTTGGTCGGCATAGTTGGACTGAGACGCCGCCGATTGGAAGAGGAACAGTGCGTAGAACAAGACTAGAAACTGAGGCATCTGAAAAAAAAAAACGCGTTTAGTTTCAACCCGCAATTATTTCCCTAAACCCAGTTCTCTCCCGTAAGTGGGTGAAAGGGGCACGACTCCGGTGGTAATGGATTTGGTTAGCACGCCGCGTCAAAGAGCAGATTTACTCACAAACCTCCTAACCCAAAATGCTGTAATCCAATACACAGCACTTGAATTAATTTACTGTACTTCTCCGGTTCTAATTGTTTGAGTGTGTAATCGCACCTACTTTTACTCATTGTCTTACGAAATTTAAATTTTAAATCTTCCGAAGGTACAGTTAGTGGTTATTATGACGGAACGCAGGAATTTTCAGGCAGCTCGCGGGTGGCGGAAAGGAAAAGTTCGAAGGAACTTTGCGGAAAACCGTTTTAACGGAGCGAAGAAAGGGAAATTCGCTGCGAGGCTGGATTATAGCTTGTGTGGAAATAGCGAGTTATTAAAAGTACAGTTAGAGTAATGGTTGTGCGAAAGAGTCGATGAGTGCTATTTACGAAATAAAAAAACTCTCGTGACTAAGAAGTCGTAAATTTTCTTGCGATAGTCACTAGTTTGTGGTCTTTAATTTATTGGCTATGAGGATTCCGGCGGGTTTTTTCTGTTTTCGAAGAGTAGATCACCGTGTACCCATTTTTTAAGTGGCGATTTCTCCTAAGCTAACACTGAAATGATTTTGCGGATCTTATTTTTTTTACGAATTTTTGCAAGGACATGTATGTCAATTTGGATTAGTGCATTATAATACTAATAGTAATAACAGTACTGTTTTCCAAATGTTCGAAAAAATAGAGTCATAATATTTTGCATATTTAATAGAGGATTTATTCCGTAAAATTTTGGATGACGTCATTAATTTTTGGGAGGGGATAGACGAATAACTTTTGATTAACGATTTACCATGGTTACGATAACCTTAAAACGTTTGCAAGATTTCAGAGCATTGAGTTAAAAAATGTGGTTATACGGAGTGAAAAATTGAAAAAGTAATAATTCGAAAAACCGAAAATTTAGAAAATTTAAAAATCAGAAAATTGAAAAATTGCAAAAACTGGAAAATAGAGAATTCGAGAAGGCGAAAAGTCGTGAAAGGAGAAAATCAAAAAATTTAAAAACCTAAACGAAAAATCGACAAATCGGGAAATTGAAAAATCGAAGAATTGATTCATCGAAACATCAAAAAATCGTAAAATCTAAAAGTCGAAAAATTAAGACAAATCAATTATTCCAGAAACCGAAAAATTGGAAATTTAGAAACGTCAAAAATTGAAAAATATTAAACTCCGAGAATCAAAAAATCTAAAATTTATAAAACCTAAAAATAAAATTTCGAATAATTGAAAAATATAAAAATTGAAAAATTCAAAAATCGAAAACTGAAAAAAATCAAAAAAATCGAAATATTGAAAAATTCCAAAACTGAAATGGCGAAAAAATTGGGAAATCGAAAAACTGCAAAATCGGACCATCGGAAAATCGGCAAATGAAAAACCCAAAAGTCGAAAAATCGAGAAATCTGAAAACTCAAATATCAAAAAATTAAAAAATTGAAACATCGAGAATCGAAACATGAAAAGATAGAGAAATCAAAACATTAAAAATCAAGACATGGGAAAATCAAAAAATTGAAAAATCTAAAAGTCAAAAATTCGAAACATTGAGAAATGGAAAAATCAATTCATCATGAAATCGAAAACCGAACATTTAGACATTCCAAAAATGGAAAAATTGAAAAATCGAAGAAATGAACAATCGAAAAACAGAAATTTTAAAAATTCAAAAATCAAGAAACTGAAAATTTGAAAAATTAAAGAATTGAAAAGCTGAAAAATCGGAAAATCGAGAAGTCCAAAATCGACAAATGGAAAAAATGACTGGAGAACCTGAAAAATTAAAAAATCGAAAAATCGATTTCTGAAGAAATGGAAAAATTGAAAATCTATAAAACCGAAAAACAAAATATCAAATATTTGAAAATTCGAAAAATAGAAAAATCGAAAAGCTGAAATTTAAAAAATCGAAAAATCGAAACAAAATATCTAAACATTGAAGGATAGAAATATTGAACAATTCCAAACGTGAAATGGCGAAAACTGGGAAATCGAGAAACTCAAAAATCGAAACATCGAAAAATTGGCAAATGTCCAAAAACCGAGATTCCGAAAAATTAAAAAATCAAAAAATCAAAACATTGAAACTTTCAGAAATCGAAAATAGGAAAGCTAAAAATTGAGAAATTTTGACCCAAAGAAAAATCGGAAAACTAACTAAGCGTCGAAATCTCCTTAAATCGAGGAATCTATGTATAAATTAAAAGAAAATTGAAAAACTGAAAAACCAAAAATTTAAAAATGGAAAAACTGAAAAACCATAAAATCTATAACCGAGAAGTGGAAAAATCACAAAATTGAAAAATTTAAAACCTAAAAATTCGAAAAATTGTAAATCGAAAAATCGAGAGATCGAAAAATCGGATAACTGAAGAAGCAAAATGAATATCGAAAAATCCCAAAACATAAATAAATTTAAAAATTTTCGAAATGGAGAAATCGAAAAATAGAAAAATTGAAATATGAAAATTTGAAAAATCAAAAAATTGAAAAATCGAAAACCTGCAAATTTGGAAAATTGAAAAATGAAATACTGAAATCGAAAGTTGAGAAATCGAGAAGCCGAGAAATCCAAACATCGGAAAGTCGAGAAATCGATAAATCGAAAAATCCAGAAATCGAAACCTCTAAAATTTGAAAAATCCAAAAACTGAAGAGACGAAAAATTGAAAACATCGAAAAGTCGAGAAATCGAAAAGTTGAAAAATTGGGAGATCGAGAAATCGAAAAATTAAAAATGGAGAAATTGAAAAGTCGAAAATTCGAACCGAAACCGAAAATTAAAAAAAAATATCTAAAGCTCCAAACAAAAAAAAAATTGAAAAATTGGAGAACTAAAAAATAGAAATCGAGTAATCGAGAAGTCGAAAAGGCGAGATATCGGTTAACTAAGAAATTTAGAAATTGAATATTTAGAAACGCCAAAAATAGAAAAATAGAAAAATCGAAGAATAGAAAAGTCTTAAAATTTAAAAAACTATAATCCAAAATCTCAAAAATTCGGAAAATTGAAAAATCTAAAAATCTAAAATTTTAAAACTCGAAAAACTGAAGAATGAAAAACTGAAAAATCGAAACGAAATATCGGAAAATTGAATAATCGAAATATTGAAAAATTCCAAAACTGAAATATCGAAAAATGGAGAAATCGAAAAATCCAAAAAATTAAAGAATTTAGAAATCAGAAAATTGAATTACAAAAACTGGAAAATAGAGAATTCGAGAAGGCGAAAAATCGCGAAATGAGAAAATCAAAAAATTAAAAAATCGAAAAACAGAAAATCTAGAAATGCCAACAACTGAAAAATAGAAAAATCGGAGAAATGAAAAATTGAAAAACCGAAAATTTAATAAATTGAAGAATCGAAAAGATGAAAAATCGGGAAATCGAGAAGTCGAAAAATCGACAAAATGGAAAAATAAAAGAAATCGTAAAATCTAAAAGTCGAATAATTAAGACAAATCGACTATTCTAGAAATGGAAAAATTGAAAATTTAGAAACGTCAAAAATTGAAAAATATTAAGTTCCCAGAATCGAAAAATCTAAAATTTATCAAACCGAAAAATAAAATATCAAATAGTTGAAAAATACAAAAATTGAAAAAACGAAAAATCGGAACATCGAAAAATCGGCAAATGAAAAATCCAAAAGTCGAAAAATCGAGAAATCTAAAAGTCAAAAAATCGAAACATGGAGAAATCGAAAAATCAGTTCATCACGAAATCGAAAACCGAACATTTAGACATCCATTAATTCAAAAATTGAAATATCGAACAAATAAATAAACGTAAAACCGAAATTTTAAAAATTCAAAAATCAAGAAACTGAAAAATTGAAAAATTAAAGAATCGAAAAGCTGAAAAATCGGAAAATCGACAAGTCCAAAATCGACAAAAGGGGAAAATAAAAACCGAAAAACAAAATATCAAATATTTGAAAATTCGAAAAATAAAAAAATCGAAAAGTTGAAATTTAAAAAATCGAAAAATCGAAACAAAATATCTAAACATTGAAGGACAAAAATATTGAACAATTCCAAAAGTGAAATGGCGAAAACTGGGAAATCGAGAAACTCAAAAATCGAAACATCGAAAAATTGGCAAATGGAAAATACAAAAGTCCAAAAACCCAAAAATCGAAAAATTAAAACATTAAAACATTCAGAAATCGAAAACCGAAAAACTAAAAATTGAGAAATTGAGAAATTTTGAACCAAAGAAAAATCGGAAAACTAACTAATTTAATCGTCGAAATCTCCTTAAATCGAGGAATCTATGTATAAATTAAAACAAAATCGAAAAACTGAAAAACCAAAAATTTAAAAAAGGAAAAACTGACAAACCGTAAAATCTATAACCGAGAAGTGGAAAAATCACAAAATCTAAAAATTCGGAAAATTGAAAATGGAGAGATCGAGAGATCGAAAAATCGGGTAATTGAAGAAGCAAAATGAATATCGAAAAATCCCAAAACATAAATAAATTTAAAAATTCTCGAAAATTAGAAAAATTGAAAAATGGAAATTTGAAAAATCAAAAAATCGAAAAAATCGAAAATCTGAAAATTTGAAAAATTGAAAAATGAAATACTGAAATTGAAAGTTGAGAAATCGAGAAGCCGAAAAATCTAAACATCGGAAGGTCGAGACGAGAAACGAAAAATCCAGAAATCGAAAATCGGTTAACTAAGAAATCTAAAAATTGAAAATTTAGAAACGCCAAAAATTGAAAAATAGAAAAATCGAAGAATAGAATAGTCTAAAATTTAAAAAGCTATAATCCAAAATCTCAAAAATTCGGAAAACTGAAGAATGAAAAACTGAAAAATCGAAACGAAATATCGGAAAATTGAATAATCGAAATATTGAAAAATTCCAAAA